GGGGGGGGGCTAGGCGAGGAGATCGTCCCGGGCCCGGCCCAGCCCACTTGCCAGGCAGCCAGTGCTGCGCCCACCGCTACGAGTTGAAGAGGCAGCACCGAGCGCAGCGCCGCCGTCCCGCGCGCCACCCACCCACCGCGTATTGATCGGACAACATGGCAGTGCCAGCAGCATCACTGGCCCAGCTCTTTAGGCTGCAGAGTCCTCTTCGTGCAGGTAAGGGGGCCCAGGAATCACGAGTTTTGAAGGCCGTAAAGCGACTCACCTCTCCACGCCAATTTGACGAGTTGCCCTCCCCCACCCGCGGGGTCCGATTGTGTACCCCCCCTCTCTACACCCTCCTGCAGGAAGCTGCGTAGGGGAGGCCACCCCGCTATCGTTATCCGGCAACAGCTTATTCAATGCTCGGAAACAGTCAAGCGGCTATGATGGTCGTTTACCGGTTGCCCCACGGCCTTCAGGCAATGAACGGCACCTTGCGCGCCGGGTTGCGAATGTATCGAATAGCGTTGGCCGATGATGTGAAGGACAAGTCGCTTCGTATGTTACAAGGGGGAGGGCAGAATCCTCTTTTCCGCGTTGCATAAGTCTGTTCCGCGTAGTTAGCTAGTAGTTCGTATATACAGTAGACTGACCCGTTGCGCCGCGATAGGGGTCACGGTCATATAAAAGGGCTTGTTAGGCGGACCGAGCATGACCCTTTCCCCCGTCTCTCCAGCAGGATACACATGGTTACAAGGACAGTCGGGTGCAGGAGATGCCACCGCGGCCGGGCTAATGGCCAGGCCATCCCCGTGGGCCTTTAGCCCATAAGGACTCTAGGGGGGGGGGGGCAAACCAGCCCTGTAGGGGGCCGGCATTCGATGCCCGAATGCGTCCGAAAACGACCAGCCGGAGTGAGACGGTCGGAGACGGAGACCACATCTCTCCCTGCCACTAGTTGTTTTCGGATGCATTTGGGCATCCGATGCTCGCTGCATGGCTCTTTGCTTCTGCCTGACAGCGCCTACGTTGTTTACCGGCTCAAGAACCTGTCTTCTGCCCCCCCCCCACCTCCCCAAACGCGCGCGCGCGCTTTTCTCACAACAAGACCGTCGTTTCGTTGCTCTGGAGTTGATTCAACCGATGGTTTCCTTTCAGGATGCTGGTCAGCGTGCCGCCCCCTGCACATGCTCGCCGGGGAGCCTCAGACGCCCGTTGTGAAGACGGAGATACCCGGGCCGCGGTCCAGGGAGCTGCTGACCGAGCTGTCCGCCATCCAGGTGAGTGCGGTGCGCGCATCCACGGTGGGCCGGGGGCAAACGACCTGGCGTTGTAACAATTCTGACAGGACACACCGAAAGCCCACAGCAGGTGGCAGAGTCTCCCACCGCCCCACCACTTTCCGTGGTCAGGCAACCCCGCTCGCGCCGGTGCGTGCAAAGAAACGCACAGGTCAGGAGACTACGTCTGTGACTTAGCGCCTGCGACACTCTGGGTAGGCCAACCCGCTAAGCAGCTGTGTGAAACTGGCGGCCTGTCTTGAGTCCAGCAGGGGCTCGGGCGAGGTAGCATCCCTCATGTGACCCCTGCATGTTGGGGGCATCTTGCAAGTGCCACGGTCCGATGCGCAAACCTGATCACCCACCCACTGCGTACTGCGTACGGCACGCAGTCTACTACGAAAGTAGGCGGGGCCAGGCGCCGGGTAGTGAGCGGTACTTCTTGCAATTAAGAGTCGGAGGTGAGACCTGGACGTCGGCCCCACTCGAAAGGACTCGCACTCTACCTCCTGCCTGCCACCTAGTTGCTGCCCCTACTCGATGATAAGAAGGAGCCTAATCTAGCTCCAAGCACTGTGTACAGTACACACAACCACCTCTTGAGGATACTTTTTTTATTTTTACTCTTCCTTTACGTAGCCTTGAGTTCTAGTGTAGCAGCTTTGCGATGATATAACAAACACTTGTTGTCATGCGGTGGAAAAGAGGGAAAACAAGAGAGCTCTTTGTTTAATGTACCAGGTGGTTGATTAACCCCGCGCACGTGTGTAGGTGTACGGGTGTACTGTACAGCTGGCAGGCGTGTGAACGGATTGCCTATCCGGTCGGTGCCGTTGGGCACCGTGGTTAACGATAAGCAAAAATCCGCTCGCACGCCTGCCTGCGGGTGCCCACCCTACCCCCCAACAGCAACGAAATAGATCAAAATAACTCCATCGAAATAAACTTGCATGAACGGGTGGAACTCAATTTGGTGTCTGTGTTGCAGCAAGCGGGCTCGGTGCAGCTCTTCGCGGACTACGAGCGATCCCTTGGCAACTACCTGGTTGACGCTGACGGCAACGCGTTGCTGGACATCTACACGCAGATCTCGTCCATGCCCCTTGGCTACAACCACCCAGACCTGCTGCGGGTGCTGGACAACCCCCACAATGTGGTGAGCGAGCACGGCGGATGAGCCTAAAGGCGGGGCGCCCGCGTCCGCGCGGTCCATAGCCGCCGAGTCTGGCTCGGGCGCAAGAGACCTGATTAAAACGTGCACGGGGCGTGGCCTGTTTGTAGAAAACGCTGGTGAACCGGCCGGCGCTGGGCGTGTTCCCGGGCCAAGACTTTCCCAAGCGGCTCAACAACATCCTCAGCCAGGTGGCACCCAAGGGGCTCACGCAGCTCACCACCATGATGTGCGGCTCCTGCTCCAACGAGAACGCCTACAAGAACATGTTCATCCGCTACCGGACGCAGCAGCGCGGCGAGAAGGTCGACTTCACGCCCGAGGAGCTCGAGACGTGCATGGTCAACAAGAAGCCCGGCTCCCCGGATCTGTCCATCCTGTCCTTCCAGGGCGCATTCCACGGCCGGACCATGGGCGTACTGTCCACCACGCACTCCAAGGTATGTGTGCGCAGGCGACCCCCGCTGCCCCCCCCCCCTCCACCCAACCTCTCGCTTACCCCCACTCTACTCCCCATGCCGCAGGCCATCCACAAACTGGACGTGCCTGCCTTCGACTGGCCCATCGCCCGCTTCCCGGTGTACAAGTACCCGCTGGAGGATAACGAGCGCGAGAACGCCGAGGAGGACCGCCGCTGCCTGGCGCAGGTGGACGACCTGTTCGTGCAGTGGAAGAAGAAGGGCTGCGACATCGCGGGCATCACCGTGGAGCCCATCCAGGCCGAGGGCGGCGACAACCCGGGCTCGCCCGCCTTCTTCCAGGGCCTGCAGAAGATCGCGCACAAGGTGAGGGGATGGGAACATAGGCGCAGCGGAGTTGTCGTGCCGCTGCCGCAGACCCGTGTTGCTCACCGGCGCTGTTCCTCTGTACAGCACGGCGCGGCGCTGCTCATCGACGAGGTGCAGACGGGCGGCGGCCCCACCGGCAAGTTCTGGTGCCACGAGCACTTCGACCTGCCCGAGCCGCCAGACGTGGTCACCTTCTCCAAGAAGATGCTGATGGGCGGCTACTTCCACAAGCCGGACCTCACGTGAGCAAAAACGCGTCTAGCCTAGCAGCAGGCAGGCAGGGGGGTCCACTCCTCAGCAAGAGGCACCTCATTTAATAAATCTCCTTTTGTTTTTGTTTTGCGATCGTAGGCCGAATCTGCCGTACCGCGTGTTCAACACGTGGATGGGAGACCCGGGCAAGGTGTTGCTGCTCCAGGAGGTGATCAAGGTCATCCGCAGAGACGAGCTGCTGAGCGTGGTGCGCGCCGCCGGGGACGTGCTGTACAAGGGCCTCCGCGCCCTCGAGACGGAGTTCCCCCACCTGCTGTCGGCCACGCGCGGCCGCGGCACCTTCCTCGCCGTCAACGCCCCCAGCGGCAAGGTCCGCGACGACCTGGTGGCCAGACTCAGGGCAAAGGGTAAGCAGAGGCGGGGCTTTCCCTGCACCCGTCTAAGCATTCGCCCCACCCACCCTCGTTTCAGAGATGCCACGTGAGAAACTCTCATGGCGACTCGTGTGTGTCCACAGGAGTCCAGTCGGGTGGCTGCGGTGACCTCAGCATCCGACTGCGGCCCGCGCTCATCTTCCAGGAGCGGCACGCCCACCTGTTCCTCGACATCTTCCGCCAGGTCCTCAAGGAGACCAAGTGAGAGGCCGCGTCGCACCGCGCGCCACCGGCTTCACGTTGTTTCCATTTCTCATTATTGTCGCGTTCCTAGTCCGATAGAACACCGTTTAGAGTGACGCGCGCCATGGGGCGATACCGCAGTTCCAGAAATCTAGCTTCCAGGTTTATTCTTGTAAACAACGACGCGTTTTAACTTTTAATGAAAATAACGTTATGGACACGTTTTAAAGTAAGGAGTATCAGTACATCAGAGGGAACTCCTGTTGTATGTGCTAAAAGGAATGAGTAAGTTTCATTCCTACGGGCATGTACGTACGCCCTTGATCTTAAGTACCTCAAAGAAGATAAGAGAGTCAACCGAAAAAACAAGATCGATGGGTGAAACTGTGTGATATGAATGTCTTCCAATTCTAGATAACACGAATACAATGTAAATAATGTCTTCCAATAAACTAATATCACAATATCAATTCAGTTGAAAATATGTGTCGTTTTAAAATAAGAAAACGAAGTCGTTGACTTACGCCCTCTTGAGTTAAACGCTCTCTCACACCACAAGTGGGGGCGATCGGAGGGCTCCTGGAAAACGTTCTCCCCCCCCCCCTCCCTCCGTTTTCGCTGATTTAGATGGCGCTTCCGGTGAGTTCTCTGATCGCCCTCCTGGGCCCCCACTGCGGAGGCGGTCCCGCTGCACTCGCCTGATGAGCGGGTCTGCCTACCTCACGACCGCCAGGCGCTCGACTCATCTCGGATCAGGACTATATGCGATTGCCCGTCTTTAAGGAGGCAGCGCAGAGGGATGTGCATGTGTGTACGGGCTCCGGGCAACACTGACGATGCGGCCAGCCACACCCTCCCGCTCGGATCTCCTCCTGTGACGGCTCCACCACTGGGCTCCTTGTTGCTCCAATCCACCACGCCCGCATCGAGACAAGTGGGTTCAAGTTCATGGTGACGACGCATCTGGACGTCTTGTACTGTATCACCCCCCCCCCCTCTTCTTTCCTCCCACGTGAGCCACGTCCTTGGTGCCAAATTGATCAGACCGTTGTAAGAGAGCATTAGGCAATTGGTGGAAGCTACGCTCCCGCCGCGCGTCACTTTCCGCATCACCATCTCCATGTTACCTCGAGAGAAAAAATATACTTTTGTGGGGTGGTTTTGGATTATCTGATCGCAGCTCGCATCAACTTGAGTTACAACGCGTGTGACCGGCAGGAGAACGTAAAACTATAAAATCATAGTCTCAAAAACAATAATTATAGAACACGTTTTTATCATTAAAAAAATATTTTTAAGTCAATACCAAGAGCAAACTAATGAATCTTGAAAAATTTTAAATTCTTTTAAAATTTAAATATAAAACAATACATAATTAAAAACTATTTGTACCAGTACAAGATAACAATCCTTTGAGCATTTCTACATAATTTTCAAAATAAGCTTGGGTTGAAAGCCAAGTTAAGTAATGTATAAGTTAACACAAGAATCCCAACACTAAAATTGCACTAACTTGAAGCTGTTTCATCAAGGTCGTCTTCAAGGATAATGTTGTTAGCCTGCAAAAACAACATACAGATTGAAAATCGCTTACATGTGAAAAATCACATACTATTTCTTCATATGAAATTACATTTAGTACTCACCCAGAGAAACCGTTTTCTGAAGTTTACAGAGAGACCTCTCACATTGACCAAGTCTTTAAAACTTTTGATAGGTCCATGCAACAGACTAAAAAGAATACAAGGAGTAGGAATTAACAAAAAGATAAATTAAAATGTATTCTTGCTCAAATTAGAAGTACATGCAAAGGAAAATAGAAAGGCAAACCTGTGGTTACTAATGATGACAGCTGTTTTTGGTCCAATAGTAGGTAAGGATTGCAACTTCTTAATGTTACCCGATTGTAGGATTTCCAATACATAATTATTCATATGACTCTGGGCATTTCCTAGATTGATTTGATACAGTTTAATATGAGAAATGGTCTAGACTACAACACCACAACAACAAAGTGAAAGCAAAATACAGTTTTATTCACCTGAAGTAGCTTTAGGTAACATAGACAACCGTGTGCTGAGACGTGCTGCTTTCTTTGTTTGTTTTGTCACCTTCAAATTTTGTTTAACAGGGCTGTCTGCAAAATACAGTGGTTTGGGGGCAACTGACAATCTTGTGCTGCGGCGTACAGGTCCAATACTTTTACGAACAGGGTTTGATTGGCTAACTTCCGAATTAGTCACTATTTTTTTCTCTTTGGGAGAGGATGACATAATTGTAGTATTTCCATCATGTTCAAAGAAGGATGGGCCCTCTTGTCTTGCCATTGACAAACGAGCTGACCTTCTAGGTTGCTTTGGTGGGGAGAGTCCGTCTTGTACCTGTAAAATATGGTAGTTAGCTGAGTAAAGTTCAAAGTAAACAAAAAAATAGGCAAAAAAAAAAAGAAGTCTTACTCGTGTTTGACTCAAAAATGTATTTCTCAACTCCTCTCTTATCACGTCTGCTATCACAGAGCGAAGCCAGGTTTCATTTTCAGCACTGAAATTTCAAATCATTAAGTGAGTGAAAATAATCTGTTTTCCTGGATATAAAAAATGTAACATTATACTGTACTTACTTTTGAACAAGGCTTGTTTGGTTTACTTCTGCTTGAGCTTTCACCCTAATACCATTTAAAATATTAGATCAGTTACAAGTCACATACAAAATCTTGTAAAACAAAAACACAAAATAATCCAGCTTACTGAGTTGCAGTGGCATCAATAATAGTAGAGGATGATATATTTAAACTGTCCCATTCTGAAGAGCTGCGACGTTTGACAGAACGCCCAGCATTCACTTTTAGAATTGGTGTGGGATCAGCACACAGAGGTTTTGCAGTAAGAAATGGAGTAGATGTTGGCCATAGATTTTCTTGTTTCTTTTGATTCACACGAGGAGTTCTGCATTGCCAACAAAGAAAAATCAAGATCAATTTTACTTGAAGAAAGTGTGTACTTAAAACAATTGCTCCTACCCTGGTGAACTGAAGGTGTTGTTAAATGGACGAAGTACAGGTCTTGTAACTTTTCCATGGCTTCCTGGTGTGGCAATGGTTGAATTGACTGCTCTCTTAAAATTAGATGGCACTTTAAATGGGGTCATGATAGGATTCCGCTTCAATTGTTTGAGAAAGAAAAATTAAGTTGGTTTTAGCTTGTACATGACAAAGGTAAACAATTAGATTAGATATGTTACACACCTGTTTGATGAGCAGACCAGCCTCTGGATTACCTTTAATGCTTCGGACCCTACTGGCAAATTGGAGGGAGTTGACAGTCATGGAAGCATCAGTTTCTAGTGGACTGATGCATGCAATTAATACCACATAGTTTTGAGGACTAAGTGTATCTGTTCAAACAGAAGAATGAGAGAAAGTTAAATTTGATTCGTTTTAGGAGTTTTTACACATGCTAAAATTAAAGCAAACCTTTGAGAACTGTTGTTAAAGCAGAATTCCTATATGGGACATGATCAGAAGAAGACAATGCTGACATTACATTGCCAAGTTGGAGCAACCCTTTGTTGATCATAACACCTTCTTTTCTGGTATCTCCAGACATTTCTGAGACACTTTCACTTCCTGCTAAGTCAACTAGATATAGCTTTGAACTGCATCGTCCATCTCTGGTGGATTAGATTAGATTAGTACAAATCATACCACTCCTTCTCAAACCAAAAGGTGCATTGCAATCTTGAGGACTTACTCAGTCAAATTCGAGAAATGAATAGTGAAAACTGCATGCGAACGAGAACTGTGCAAGTTGGCATTTGTTGCACCAACATGCCTGTTCTTCAACCCCTTTTCCATTTCAGAAAGAGCTACTTCCATTGTCCCAGTCTTTTTAAGAGTCAGCCCCACAGGTTTAAACTCTGAAGGTCACAAAAATTCTTGACATAATTTTTCAGTTTATGGAAAGATCAATGAATTAAATGCTAGTTAATACTAATTACATACCCACAAGATGCATTTTCTTTTTTTCAGGAGATAAGAGATCTAAAACCTCTTCTTTGTATACCTCCAAGAAACTGACGTGAACTTCAAAATTGCCTGAGCTAGAAAATATTCTTTCAAGAGCTTTCTGAACAATACCTGGTGTTGGTGCCTAACAAATATAAAAACTAACTTAGAATATGTTTAGAATCACAATAACATTTTCAAAATTAAATCATTTTTGAAAGAGGGTGTTACCTTAACTTTTGTCCCCATAGTGTATGTTTTACCACTACCTGTTTGACCATAAGCCATTACGCAGGCTGTAAAGCCTTTCATGACTTTTTCAACGACAGGATCAACAAGAGTGTCATAGATTTCTTTCTGTGTCGCATCCTCTGAGTACACATGATTTAAGCTGAATGCTCTTTCACGAGCAACAAGTACCTGAAATTTTTAAACAAAATTGACAATTAGTGACACTAAAAAAGAAATACTGTCACAACGCATAACGCATCCACTCCCCTTGGAAAAAATTTAAGTGGCAAAGCAGCATTTTCCATTTAAAAAGACTGAATCCACTTCAATGCCACTTTGCCCAGGTGTTAAAACGATGACCAGAATAAAAATCAATATTTCTCTTTTTATTATTACCTGATTGGTTTGAGGTAGAAATTCAATTGCATTTCTACAACCAGAGTCCCTTTCGAGTGTTGTCAGGGGGCGACATCGAACTGCTGCAACTACAGCATCCATTATGCTTGTCTAAAAGAAGAAAACATAACTAAACTTGATATCCTTCAACAATTACGATAAAAATAGACATTGTTGTTCTCATGGAAGAGCAGGACATAGCTTCGAAGACTACATACACTAAGGGTACAGCTGTAACGAGAAAACACAGGAAACACAGTCTTCTCAAATCAGCCAACCAGCACTTTAGCTTACTTTAACAGTAAGCGACATACGTTTCGTTTAGCGAAATTAGTTAGTTCTATAAAAAAACAGCAGTATGTAAATGCTACATACTGACATGCAAGTTAAAACATGAAACCTGACGAAAAGGGTAAATAATGTAACCAGTAAACAATTTTCAAATACACAACGTTCATTTGTTTTGCAGCTGATCTTATTTTTTAAATATGTTACCAACCTACAGCGTAAAAAAGGTAATTTCAAACAACAGCTTATGCACCAAATTTAGGGCAGTTTCCACCAAAAGTCTCTTAAAAACTAGAATTTTTAAATATTATCACCTTTTTCAAATTAAATCCCCTAACCCTCGCGAGAAGGCACTCTGAAGATAGATATTCACTGTTGGTAGACATGTGGGTCACAACTGCCCTTCCCCCACCCTCCACCTCCACCACGCCCCTTCTCCCTCCCTTCCCCTCGCTGTTTGTGTGTGTACTTCATTGCAGATAACTGTGTGAACTGATAGTCAACAAAAATTATCTGTTCTAGTGTGAAATTCGAGCCTGATGCTTCAGTATTCTATTTGAGAATTTTTGATGGTTCACGAGCTTAAGGTCGGCGCTGCGCTTGGACAGCGTGGAGAAAATAACAGGAAAAACACGAATATGACAATGGGGGAGGAGTCACCTGTGACGTCCCTCGTTCTTCCCGTTTTAATACGTCCCATTTTATCGAAGGTTTGTAAACTCGGTTTCTGTCTTTCACTTTTCCAGTTTTATCAACCTACTTCGGGTAATGTCTTCGATGGTACCCACCAATTAATGGTCTTTAGAGCCCTAGCCTCTAACCCCATTTCTAGGACTTAACTCTTGTCAGAAGACTTTACATCACAACAATTGCCATGACCCCATGATTGACTGTTGTTAGTATAGTACTAACAGTAGTTGTAGTGAATTTCGGTACGATGCCTTTACCACCACCCTCTTCTCCTATTTCATTTGTAGTTGGAGCGTCGTGATGTTGCGGCTTCACAGACACTGAGAGCGGCACTCTCCAAGGCAGAAATGGCACATCCTGGATTTACATATGATCTGGTTGTCGGAATAATGCAGCGTGGAGAGTTTAGTGTTAATTTGAATGAAACAGTACTCCGCCTTCAAGGTGCTGCAACTGAAGCTGACAGTATGTATTTCTTTGTGTAGAGCCTTATTATTTGTTCTTTTATCTGTACGACAAAATTCATGTGTTATTTTATGATGAAATTTTCAGTGGTGGAATATCGATTGAATAGATCCGAGGATGCATTCCAAGAGTTAAACAAGAAGTCAGCTGCACTTAAGAAGATCCTGTGCCGAATCCCTGATGAAATTACAGATCGTCAAACATTCCTTGAAACTATTAAGTAGGTTCAAGCATAGTTTCTCACTAGTGGCAGATTTCAGATTTTTTAAAATTTGATTTATTCTTATCTCGACTTGCATACTTTCAGAGAAATAGCGAGTGCAATCAAAAAACTATTAGATGCTGTCAATGAAGTAACAGGCTTCATTCCTGGATCAGAAGGCAAACAACAGCTGGAACAGCGTAAGCGTGATTTTGTTAGGTATTCCAAAAGGTTTTCCAACACTCTGAAAGAATTTTTCAGGGAAGGAGAGTAAGTACCAAAATTGTCTCCTTATGTGTCTTATTGATGTCACTTTTCTCTATACCACATTGACTTTTTGTTACAGGCCAAATGCAGTATTTGTGAGCTCCTTGTATCTAATCCATCAGACTAACAAGATTGTGGTTTGTGTGAAAAACAAGTGTGAATAATTTCGATACTCATTTCATCCATACATTTTTTTATAGTCATGCTACTTTGGTACAATCGCCTGATAGACCAAAACTTTTCCTGCAGCATGATTGTAATCAAATGGCAGGTCACTACTTATAAAGACTTGGTGGAAGGATGGTTGTTTTATTCTGTTAGAGTTGTTAAAATCAGTACAATTTATGTATTTTCGTGTACGAAATATGATATATTTACTGCTTGTTTCAGATGTTTAACTTTATTAATCATTCACTGTTAGAGGAAAAATACTCTATTCATTGTCTTTCCTCATTCTTTAAGGCACTAAACTCAAGAAAGAGCTTTTAGCTTTTGATTCATATTATAGGGAGGATCAGAAGTGACAGTCACCACCCAGTTATAGAGTTTTTGAATTAGTGGTCATTAGTCTCTAAATTAGAAATTTCACTAAAATAATCAACCCTATGTTTCACATGTTGATTTTCTACATACTCACAGGGTAATAATGTCTTATCAGTGACATGTACACTTGTATTTTGGTGTAATAGTATCTTTATATTTACTTGTGTTGACTCTTGAAAATAAATATCTCTTATTAACGGTATTCTCCTGTACAGTTTTATTTTAAAACATCTTTTGCCAGTGCAACGACGTGACCATGGAAGAAAGGGGTTCGTGTGGAACCTGAAATGAAATTCAGTTCCTACTTATGCTTCTATGTTTTATTTTTTGTATTGACAATTGACTTTTCTTGTCCGTCGATCCGCGGCGGCAGCGTGACGGCGCCTAAACCCTTTCGCTCGCCACTGAACAGCGAAGGGGAATGCCGATGTTATCTCTTTGGAGAAGCGATGGTATCTGTGCGGACAGTAATGCCCCCCCCCCCTTTACCCCCCGACGCGGCGCCCCGCGCGCATGCTCGCAAAGCGCGGCGGGCCACAAGGTGACTTCATCCCCATTGTGATTCGGTGAACGTCCGCTCCGCTCGCTCGCACTGTGGTGTGTGCGGCACGTCCCTCTACCCGCCCGAGGCAGCCGTGGCCACAGTGCGTAGCCCGGCCGCACCGTGTTGTCGAGAGCCCTGCGCGACGGCAGTACCCCCTGCTGCGTACCTGGAGCGCGTGGTGCTGCTGTTGCTGCCGCTGCCCGAGCCGAGCGCCCGCGCACCGCACGATAGGCCACCCGCTCCGGGCCGGCGCGTGCGAGCTGCCTACCCAGAGGCTGACGGGCGCTCCCCGCCGCTGAGCTGCGCCGCCGCTACCGCTGCTCTGCTGACAGCGCTGCTGACCTTACCCTTCGGCCGCCTTGACAAGGGCACGGCGCTCGTCATTAGCGTGAGATAGCTCGCCGTAAACGGTCAGTGTTATACGGCTTGATTGGCAGGCAGGCCTGACGGGCTCGCGGGCTCCTGGACACGGCTGACACGGCGGTGACGCCATCCCCGAGGCCGGGACGGGGCACTGTGTGGGCTCGGCTCGACCCGGGCGGACGGTAAGTGTAAGGGTGGCTGCTCAAAGTGCCCGCAAGGGCCCTGGCGGTCCGGCGGCCGTGAGGCTGAGGCTGGTGTGTGCGCAGGTGTGGCTCCAGGCTGCAGGACGGATGTGGCGTCTAAGGGCCCCCTGTAGGGTCCCCGCTCCCCGCGCCCCGCGCCATGGCCGTCATACGCTCCTTCTGCTCCGCCTTCTCCATTCGCCTGGGCTCCATCATCGTCGGAGCCGTGTGCCTGGTGAGCTCGCCACAAGAGTGTTTCTCGCGATGACAGCTTGCGCCGCGCCAAGAATGCGAGGTTAATCTGCGTACGGAGCATTCGACAGCAGTACAGATTTGTGTTATTACGTGCTACGTGCTTTATGACCCCAGTAGCACCAAAGCACTTAAATGCGCATGAGCTGCGGCAATGCGCGCAAAAGGTGACACATTGCGAGTGATGCGCATTCAATGCTTTGATGCTCTTTGAAGGCGTCTCCAATGTGTCACCTTTTATGTGCATTTCTACGCTCATTGAAGTGCATTCTGCACTGAGGCGCTTCAGGGGTACCTGAGCTAGATAGGCACAGCCACAATACAGTTGGAGTAGATTTCTCTGGAGCAAATGTTTATGGGAAATTCCCGAATGTAAAATATGTGGGCTTTCCAAAATGCATGTTGGAAGGCCCATCTTCTTTTTATTTCCCCCCTTTTTTCTGGGAGGTGGGGGGCGGCTGGACACTGCACAGCCATCTTGATAGCCGGAGGGTAGGAGGAGGGGTAGGGTGTCCAATGGCCATGGATCGCCAGCGCACGCGATTCAACAGCGTATATGGCGTGTCCTGTTGAGGCATGGCGTGGCATAGCTTGACAGTAGTTTTTTTCTTTCCTTTTTTTTCATTTTTCCCCGATGCGCGTTGCTCTGCCGCGACTGCCGCGTTGCCGAAGCTATCGAACCCCGCACCATAGGTTTCGATTCGCCGCTCCAGGGCTCATCGGGTTTTCCGCCGTGGGGTTTCCATACCCTGGAGAGATAGGCAGCCAACCCACCCCCAGAAGGGTTAAGTTAAGTTCTAACACTGCGTTCGGCGTACAAAACTGATAATAAACATTCATGACTTTATTGCAGTTCTCCCACTAAAATATTTACTGGGCACATTAGATAACATCTAAAAGACTCCAGTCACGGAAACCGGGCTATCATTTCTGGCGGCTGGCGGCTGTGTGAACTGTCCTTCCCCCCCGTCATTTGCAGTGATTTACTCTCCTACTTTTTATGTCCCAGATGCAGGCGGTGGCGATGGAGGTGGCTTGCCTTGTAGGGCTGCAAGACGTACACATGGTCTCTCAAAACTTGAATGAGTTCATGTTCGAGAGAGACTTCTTGTTCGCCTCTAGCTTTCTTAACAGTATAAAAAAGAGTGAGTTAATTTTCTGCCTACACCTACGTAGAGTTCGGCCACCTTGCACCAAACGGGTTTCAGTACGGACACTACAGTGTTGCGGGATTGCATACTCGCAGCCCCGGAGGGGCTATGGCGCCGTAGGGGCGAAGCGAGTAGGCAAACCCGCAACACTGCGGTGTCCGCTCTGAAACGGCCGGTACGCTTATTTGAACCGCTTTAGTAATCTTGGTCGTTTTATTTCCAGACCCAGAGCCATTTCTCGTGGGAACACTTATAATTTTGTTGGTGTACTCCTTTTCCTGCATTCTATTGATTGTCGGCGCACTTAAGGTAAGTAGCGTGTTTCATATACGTGAAAAGATAAGAAAGTAATTCGTGACGTTTCCAAACTTGCGTCCACAGTTGAACGTGTGGCTGGTGGTGCCCTTCGTAGCTGTCGAGTTTCTTCGCTTGTGCGCCAACCTAGCCATCCTGGTGGCGGGCATGCTCATCCTCAAGAAGAACAGCCTGGACCTGGGGCCCCTCATGGGTGGCAGTTGTGGTGGTGGCTTCTTCATGCGTGAGTAATGCAACGACACGCCGTGCCCGTGGCGTTGCCCATCCTCCTGGGGGTGCCTCTGCCTGTTGGTCACGACAGTTTTTTCTGCTCGCAGTGCTCATGATATACCTGTGGACGTGCCCGCTGAGCCTGGCGCAGGAGCTGCTGCGGCGCCGGCGCGAGGACCGGCCCAAGGGGAGCCCCGTCCGCGTGCTCAACGGCGCCGCCCTCACGGACGCGACCGCCCTCGAGGCCAAGCTGTGGCGCCACACCACGCACGTGACGCAGTACCCTTACGTGTCCCAGTACCCGTCGTACCGAGGGTACCCCATCTACATCGAGTAGCAGCCGCCGCCGGTGAGCTTCACGCACGGGTGTGCAATAATAGCAGCGGCGCTTTTACATTGTAAAGTATGTTTTTATCTCTAAAAAACAAACACACATTTTAAAAAAACCTACTGTTTGATGGAACTTAATAGGTTTTCTTCTCTACAACTGTACTAATAAAAATCAACAACAAAGTAACAATCGCAGATTTTATTTTAATCAACATTCAACAGTCATTTTCCTATAATGTTATTTTACAATCTGTACAATATTTACAGTCGTGAGTTCAGGCAACAAAAAGAAAACTGCACAGCAATAAATACTGGACCAGTTATTAATCAGGTCAGCTATTAGGATCTATCTACAAATCTATGTGAGGGAAATAGATTGCAGATATTATATTGCAGAAGCTTAACTAAAGTGAACATCAGCCAACAGCCAACATTTCACAATGTTTGAAAATTAACTACATGAAGACTCCATGTATGGATCCGAAATGTTGAGTTGAAATTTAAATTGCCTTGTGATCTACATTCCTGTTTTACAGAAGTGCGTGATATTTCCGATGACAACATAGTTCAAGCATATATTTGTTACTTCATCTGCCAAAAAATAAAAGAATTTCATCATTGCATATTTAAAGACGGCTGCAGTGTAATGGGTCTGTGACATGGCATCACATATGAAGTAGACACTGAGATCATACCCTAGAACCTGTGCAATCTTTAAAATGAAAACAACTAAATTAGAGTTCTCTGGCAGTAGTCACAATCAGTGAGAAAAGAAAATGCTTGTCAAAAAAATATTTGTCCTTTTCTGAAGATCTGATATTGTAAATGTTCCATGGTTGATGTTACTGATGCACAGAATACTTCACTTTACACAAAATAGAAGTAGGGAGGTCCAACAAGGGATTTTGAGATTTAAACTGAAAATCACAGCATGACATTCAAGAAATTTTAACATGAAGAGCCCAATTTTCCCCTTACAGAGTTTGACATTCGGAAACACAGATTTATGGAACATCATTCTATCTTTAATTTTACAGAACGCTTTGTACAATGGTAGGACAGATTTTGGTGCCAGCACCAAACTGTACAACCAGAAATAACATTGCTCTAATAATAAAACAGACTTGCTATATATTACTTGTGGACAGCAATTGCAACAGCTATGTCAACTGACATCATGAGACAACAGCCTGGGCACCGGGAGGCAGGTCATTTGGAGTAGCAGCTAGGACGTTTCCTGCACCAAGGAGTTTAGGTACATTTGAAATTTCTACATCTAACAGACCAGGCTTTTTAACTTCCTTTAATTCTTCTTTGTTACCCAAAAACCATTTTTTCTTGTTGACTAAAAGCAATAACATCAATGCAGGCAAATGAATCAAAGAAAACCTAAATAACTTGCGAGATGAACTGCTATCAGATTTTTTGTAAAACTGGTATGCTGTAAGAAGGAAAGACAAAAATTTAAGATGAAATATGAACTCCTAGATAAAAATAACCTCAGACTTAACATCATTTTTCTAGGCTCACCAAGATAAGCAAAGTATCCATTTAAAGGTGCAGACTCTATTGCAAACCACACATTGGTCAGGTCTAACCAAGGTGCAGCACATGAAAGGGCAATTATTGCTCCAGTGTAGCGTAAAGCCACCCTCCGACATAATCCTAGAATATAAAGTAAATTAAATAAACCTCTCTTAATACAGCGGTTCAGCATAAAGCTAAAATAAAATCAACTGACCAGGGTTGGTCACGGACATCATACGATATCCAGCTCTTGAATAGTCGGGTCGTAGATTCCATGACAGTGCATTAAAATGAGGAAACTGCCATGCATATAATAGTCCAGCCATGATCCAGGCAGCAGGTTCAAGGTGGCCAGTGCAAGCTGCCCAGCCCATGAGTGGAGGCATGGCACCAACTAAAAGAAAGGGGGAAAATGAAATTGAAAAGGTGTCAATAGATTTCATGTGTGGATTCTTAATACCCATTTCTAAATAAATACTTACCGACAGACCCAACCCAGGTGTTTAGTATGCTCACTCTCTTCATTGGTGTATAAATCATGGTGTAAAGGACTAAGTTGGATGCACCGAGTGCAGCAGTTAAAGGATTGCAGCCAAAGTAAAGTGCTGACACACCAAGAGTAGCAGATACTGCAGCAAATGACACTGCATGTAGTGGTCTGTAGGGAGAAACAAATTAGTTTTGATTGTATTGGTGGATGGTAAAATCGAGTAAATCATACTTAGTTTGTGATTCGTTCTTACGATAATTGTCCTTGAACTAGGACCCTGTTTCTGGTTCTAGACATTTGTGAATCGAAAGGAACCTCAAGATATTGGTTAATGGCATTAGCAGCACATGATGTTAATCCAGTTCCAACAGATGCCATTAAAAATGTAGCAGGATCAAATGGTGCAGAAGCAACAGCATAGCCACCCATTGTAGTTAAAACAACGAGTGCTGAAAACCAAAACTTGAATAAGAAACAATGAACTGCTTTACTCTACAGTACACATACACATTATCTGCACTTACATGTGAGCCTTATTTTGGACAGTTTGAGGTATAATCCAGTGAGGTCACTCTGCTTGGCAGGGGCATACTCCCTCCAAGCATTTTGATCTCTTTCAGTAGATTTTTTAGGTTTAGAAGAAGTTCCATTATCTTTACCTATCACAGGTACTGTAATTTCAACTATTGGAGGAGTAAGGGGTACACTGTTTACAGGAAGTACCGTTGCAGGTTTGACTGAAGCTGATGGGGAGAATTGTTTTTTCTTACTTGAAGATACACTAGTTTTAGAAATATGATTTGAAGATATAGCAGGAGCAGCTTTCGAATACTGTAGAAGAGGAGAATAGATTAATGATGAAACACACATGTTTGCACACCCATAATGGAGGGAACTGACACTTTTAGATTCAAAATAATTTAACATAGATATTGTTTGGCATAGGTCCAAGAGAGAAGGGCAAAGACAACTTACCTGAAAGAGTTGAACAGCAGTCCCTCCTAGACGACATGATGCTCTTGGCAGCCCCCATATCGTCGGCTGCACAATTAAGTATATCATGACGGCTTCATTGGCAGCTAAATTTGTCCTGAACAACAACACAACGTAGGTGAAGGTTAAAAGCCATATAGGTTAGGTTCAACCAACATCACGTTATTAGCCCATTTCAACGACCAAAATTTATTACTATCTACAGTATAAAATAATAATGGCAAATAATTTGTTTTTTAATAAATGGCTTGCATCACTTGAGAGTCTGTCAACCCCAAAAAATGGTTGAACGTGTTATGGTTTTTTGGGTAGCAAGCAAACAAATTCACAATCGTATATAGAGACTATGACAGCTCTGCAGCTTGAACAAGTAGAAAGTACATTTCTCTACACTCAAAACACATCTAAATACCACAAGACATTTCCAGTTTATCATTCCTAAATGTGGAAAAAAACAAAATAAATATTTTTGACGTTAACCTTTGAGAACGGCACGGCCGCTGCAAGCAGCAGCAGAAGCAAAAGAGCGTCGTTTGTTTTCCACCGCCTTGTTTAGACGTGAAGAAACTTCCGGTTGTACATAAATTCTTAGCGAACTCATGAACACATTTTGTTACGTTAAAAATTACTTGCACTTGTGCATATTCTACATGGTCAATAATCTATTTTATCTAACGTTTATTCCCAAATCGTTCGCCATGTGCCTTTCCCTACAAAGAGGGGGCTGCCATGCCGAGCCGAAAAGCATCATGGGATAGCCATGGTGGCTGAATTCTGAAGGCCGCTAATCCAGGACAAGAGAATCCTTTTATTTACGATATACATTCCTACATCCCACACCAAACACGACAATGGCGTGCAATTTTACATTCATGAGACACTAGGCACAAGTAGGCCAGCGCCAATGTAAAGCATAGAAAGTAAAGGCAGGCCGAAGCGCTCTAGTAAGGAGAGGCAAGAGTCACGCTCCTGCCTCACATGGAATCAGAGAAAGAGCCTGCTAGGTGTCACTGCGATCGCATCAAGTCCTGAGGCACTGACGCCATTTTAGCGACTAACCTGCAAGGCGCGGAAGAAACGAGCCGTTTCAGAACGAAATATGTAACTAAAATACCGACTGTATCTGATCAGGTAAGCTCAAGTGTATTTTGCGTGCGAATTTTCGAAAGGGGGGTGAAATTCCATGCTCTACGCTGCTTGCACATGGTTGTGCATTGTGGGGTTGTGTGGCCCAGCGGGCCGAGGGTAAGCCCTGGTCCTGTCTTGAGCCAGTCACCGACCTGCCCCAGCCATTCAGTGCGGGCCAAAATGGAGGACCTTCACTATCTCGACGCTCATTGTCTGGTTTAGTTTATTCAAGGTACGTCAGGCGTCAATTTGGACATAAAATTTGGTTCGGGAGACGTTGGCAGAGGGAGATAAATGTTTTACCGCCCAACGGCAGACGGCTCAGGGGCCCGAAGGCAAGGCATAGGCCGCGCTATCGTCCACCTCGTCTTTGCACCAGTGTGCGGCCTAGTGGCACGCCAAAACGCGGCCCCGTTTGTGGAAATTCGCTCACTGGCATCGGAACACGACTGTCGCTTGTGGGGAAAGCTCATGACAAACTGTCAACGTCTGCTGCCAGTTGTAAATAAAAACACAGGTGGATATGCCTGAACCTAACCGGCCATCTCTAGTTTCAAATTGTTGCCCCAGTGCTGATCAATGTTAAGTGCCTCACTTGGTTGGGCGAACATGTTTAGTTGATAAGGAATAATTTATTTACATTTTAACATCTAATTTATTGAAAAGTATGGTAACTTTACTTTGTTTACCCCCTTGTCATAGGCTGAAGAGGTTATTTTACTGTGTTATGGTTCTAATTTGATTAATATATTCATTGACAAGGACATTGAGAGACAGTGTGTATTTCGGATTTATATGGTTGATGTTCAGTGAGTTGTTTCGGTTACCATCTTACTTTTTATTGTTGGTCCTACTGAAATATTGTAACATGACAAGTCATTGTGAAACAATTGTCATTGTACTGAAATGATAATTTTAGAATTGAAAAGCCTATGTTTTTTTTCTCTCAATTTTCTTACCATATTTACTCTATTCTAGGGAGATGCAAAACAAATACCAATTGCTATGAATATGTTTTGCACTGTTTACATTCATTTACTACAACTCCTTTTTTATTTGTTTTCAGTGATCGTTATGGAGAATGGCGATGATTCATCTTTGGAGAATGTGGAGCCTGAACCAGAGGATGATCTTCATGAGGGATCATTTCTTGAAGGACAAAGCTTCTCTTCCAATGATGGTGCTGCAGATGAAGAGCAACCCTCTAAGAGCAGTTGCTCTGAGAGAAATGAAGTCAGATCATTCACTCCTGGCTCAGATCATCTTAATTTATCAACAGACGAAGAAACTAGAGGGTCAACATTGGACGATTCATTAGTAGAGGGGGGAGCTGCTTTAAGACATGCCCTTGAATCAATGGGAAACAGCTGTCAAGCAACACAAGATCTTCAGCTGTCTTCTGACTCTTCATTTAGTGATCTCAATTCTTCTAATACCACAAACAATGATGAAGAAATCAATCAGGAAGTGGATAGGCTTAAGTGTTCAGAATATAAACTTAACTCAAAAGATCTTAGTGATGTTGCTGGTGTGCAAAGTGCTGAGTGTCATGACACAGAAACTATTAAAAGTGCAAGTGCTAGTGAAAACATTTCAACAGAGAGCTGTCAATCAATCGAGGACCAAAGTGAAAATAAAGAGGAAAGTCTCAGCACCAAGAACCTTGATGAGCCAATCCAGCATGTGGATAATATAAAATCTGCAGAAGTGGATGCTGGTAGTGATGAGGATAGTGCTGCTGTGGTAATTATTCTTGTCAATGCTGTCAGTGCTACATGACTACTATGGGGTTGCTCTCACCTGAATTTTCCAACCTTTATGATTGTCATGCTGCACTGAATGTGTTACAATGCCTTTTGTTTTGTTTGTTTTCTTAGTCACAAGTGTTTTTCAATCTATTAAAATTTCTTTCAGACTCATTTGCCCCAGACGCAGTTAAATGACAGGTCTGAGGAAGACAAAACCACACAACCAGCTGAAACTGCCCAATCACCTGTGGCCACTCTTCCCAGTTGCCTAACTTCTCCAGTAACCAAATCACCGCCTCAACCATCAACAGAGCCTACAATAGTGCTGTCATCAGCATCCCCATTAGATTCTACATCCTTGTTACCTGGTGATGAGTTGAAGTCCATTGGTGAAGAGGATTTGCCTGATGATTCTGGATTAACTTCTCAATCACTCCAGGATGAGGGAAGCCAACAAACTTGCAATACTGAAACTGGCCGAGGGGAGATTGACAGTGTTGATTCAAGAGGTAGTGTAGATGTTCACAATACAAATATTAATCCTTGTCTTATTATTCATTTTAAAAATGTCGAATTCTTAAATCTTGATACGTTTGGAAAGTATTTGGGTTCTGATTATAGACTGTCTAATGCTGAGATTTTATCCATTTCAGCCAGTGAAAAAGACACCAGTTTGGACCACCCTGTACCCCAGACTGACACTGAAGAATTCTCACAAGGTGCAACTGTTGAAGATGAAGTCTCTCAGGATTCAATTGCTGACAATTCATCTCTTGGTTTGTTAGCAGATTATGATGTGTCTCAAGATTCAACCGCTGACAATGTATCTCTTGGTCCAACAGCTGATTATAAAGTGTCTCAGGGTTCTGCTGATAATCGTTCCTCTAGTCCAGCAATCGAAGACAAAGTGCCTTTGGATGAATCTAATCTGGATGAAGTATTACCCAGTACCAATGTTGAGGAAAATGAATTGGTTCATGAAAACATGAGTGTTGATGACAGCGATGAAGAAGAGAAAGAATTGGTGACAAATGAAGAGGAAGTCAATGATGGTGTGGAGGATGAAGAGGAGAGTGGTGACCAGAGACATAGTGATCCTGGAGACAATGAATCTTTAGAGGCATATCCAAGGGTAAATGGTACTTTGAGTGAATCTATGGACTGTGACGATGCAGATGTGTTTAATGAAAATTCCAAAGAACAGCCATCAGAATCGTCCTGGAAATCCGAAAAACCCATCATTATGTCAAAAAATCTTAACTTGGCATGGAAAAAGGCATTTGCCAACACTGCAAAGAGGTATGAAGAAAACAATATGTTGACAACTGATGAAAAAGAAGGCAGTGACTCATCGTGTATGTCTCAGTCAGACAATTCGGGCTCTGTCCATAGTTTGGAACCTGCCGAAGAACCCTTTCAGGAAGATACTTTCCCTACTAATGAAACGTTTGTTGACTTTCCTGTTCATGAGCACTCTGCTCCAATTGAAGCATCCACTGAAATTCATCAAAGTCAGACACAGCTGGAGCAATCCACTGAAATTCATCAAGATCAGTTATTGCAGGCGCAATCCACAGGATATCAAAATCCAGGCAAACGCACCTCCAAGTTGCATAAGAAGAGAATACGCAAGGAAAGAGCCACAGTACCTGTATTTGAGGAGTCAACATCAGCTTCTTCAAGGGATCACCTGGACACAAATCTTAGAGTTGGCATGGCAAATCCGGCTCTGGACTGTGCTCAGAACATGGGAGTGCAGCCAAATGTTTCATTTAAGTGTGTGAGATGTGGTGCAAAGGGTTTCATGTCTATGAGTGATCTTAAAGACCATCAGATGTTGTGTTTGAGGAATCCATTTACTGTGTGCCCCCAAGAACAGCAAGCCTCTCCTAGTCCTGAAACCAATTCTAAAATAAGGATCACAAGAAAAGTGTTTTTGTGCTCAGCTTGTGGGTCGTATTATGAAAATTGGAATCTCTTTCTCCATATGAGAGAAGTGCATAAACGCCATATTTGTTTGTTCTGCCTAGGTATGTTCTCTCAAGCCGAAAAGTTATCTCTACACCTTGTATCAAAACACAAAGTATCTGCTGGACATTATGCAACACCAGAAGATTTCAAACAGTCCTTTAAAGGAATGTGCTTTCTTATGTGTTGCACTTGCGAAAGGATGTTTACTGAAGAAAACTTTACAAGTCACATGTGTAGAAGAGATTTAGTTGTTTGTGATGTTTGCCAAGGTAGAGGCTTCCATGTGCCAACATGCCCACTCATTAACTCAGTGAGAGATGATACTCTGTCACCCCAGAGATGTTCAGAAACTAGCTCTGTTGTGTCCCAAACTACAGGAAGTGTTAAATCTAGTGACCCAGCTCATAATAGTCGTTTCAGTTTGAAGTACAACAAATTAGGTACTAAGTCCAAACCTGTACTGAAAGTTAAAGTCCCGACAGTACCACCAAAGAGAGCTGAGAAACGTAAAGTAGTTAGGAGTGCTATTTCATTACCTAGTTCTCCATTACCTCAGACTGCATTTCACTTACAATCTAGTCTCGCTCAAGATGTGCACACACCATCTATGAGTGTGTCAACTGGCAGCTTTATGTCAAACTTAGATCGAACAATTAATTCTGTTGCTTTAGGAGTTACTGAAGAAGCTAGAGCATGGGAGGAACGTATGGAAGCTGAAAGGAGAAGAATTATTGAAGCTAGACAAATTTACACTGACACTGAAGATGAGAGTGAAACTGAAGCAGTGAATGTAGTTGAGGAAGCTGAGACTGAAGGTGGTGTTGTGAGCGGCAATGACGACTTAATACATTCCAGCTCCTCAAGTGAGAGTAGCAGTAGTGATGATGAAGAGAAGGAAGAGGGAGAAACAGAAGAGGTGAAACCCAGTAATGTAGCAGAATACCCTGGACATGAAGCAGGATATGCAATAACTCAGGAGGAACATAGATTTGAAGAGCAAGAAATAAGTGTGGAAGGCAACAGCGATCAGGAAAACAGAGTTGAAAGAACTGAGCTGGAAGTGGAGCAGAAATCTGAACTGGACATTGTAAAAGATGCCGGTCAGGAACAAGGACAAGAATTTGAGCAGGACGTCCTAGATACCAAGAATGTAGAAGCAGAAGTGGAGGATGAGAATGATGCTGGAAGTGAAGACGAAGAACAAACACCATTATCATTAGATCTGGAGCCGTGTAACACCACACCTTATAAACCCTCTGATGAAAACACATTGGAAAGTCTATCTGAGGATGTTTCCCAAACACAGGCTGTTTCTGAAGATGTGAGCACATTAAATGATACTGCAGCAGCTCCTGAAATTATGGACACAGAAATTAATCCTGCTGAAAATGGTGATTGTTCTTTACTTTTGGCACCAGAAGAAACTGAAAGTAAAATGGAGCTAGACACTGAGAACATCCAGAGTGAAAATCATGACACTGAAGATTTAATGCAGCCTCCTGCTGTGGAGCCATCTCCCCTCAATGACAATGGTCCTCTAAGTGACTCTGGTGCTGAGCAGGTCTTGGCACAGGAAACTGAAGAGGCCCCCGAGGAGAGAGTGATGGATGGTATAGTTTTGGCTGGTGAAGAAGTGCCTGAGTATGAGCTACAATTGGAGAAGCCACTGCACGTATTGAAAACTCAAGAAGTTCTGAAGGAGTGTGTACGTCACCTCTGTTGGTCCTGTGTGTATTGTAGTCATGCTAAGAAAATTGCTGTGAATGGTAAACAGCTCGCTCTTCACATGATGTCAGAACATCGTGTTATCCCAGTGGACAGCAGCCATCATGAGACACCTGCTAATGAACGCTTGATTACAAAATTGAAGGACTCTCTGGAATTCCTGCAGACTACCTTTTTTAACACTGATTCTTATGATAGTACTGACAAAGCAAATTCTCTCCCTTATGATAGATCTTATGAATGCTTTCATTGTCATTATTACACTAGATTGCACAAGGAGTTGTATATTCACAACAGAAAAATGCATCAGAAGACAATTCTTCTCTGTATAATGTGCAAGTCTAATTTTTATAGCTATAGTGAGCTGTTGTCTCATCTGTGTCCTGGTATATATATCCCACAGATTGATATTACCTTCCGGTGCTGCATGTGTGATGTTGATGAATTGCCATCTGCATTTCGTCTCATGGTTCATTTAAGGAAGAAGCACAATGCTTGTGATGTTTGTCTTGAAGTCACAGATGATCAACAGAAACTTTCCAACCATGTTTGGAAACACAAGCTTCATCATTTGTGTTATAGGTGTGGCATTGCATATAGAAATAAGCCAGATATTACAAAGCACTTATTCTGGAAACATGGAACTGAAAGTGTGCTATGCAAGAGATGTTTGCAAAAGAAATGGCCGCATGTTTATCACTTTTGTGTCCCTCCTGCAACTTTTGTTTGTGAAGAATGTAATGCCATATTTTCAAGAGCAGTTGCGTTACGAGTTCACAAACGATTTCATTCTGAAGATTTTAGATATCCGTGCACTGAATGTGAAGATAAATTTGTTTCTAAGAAACTTTTAGCAAAGCATTTAGAGAAGCATAAGGCTCCCTTACTGCCACGCCCCCCACCGGTACCAGCATCACCGCCACCTCAGCCGGCTTCTGAGCCGGAGGAAGTGAAAGATAGCTCAGCTACATTAAATAAACCTAAGATCTCCCCTGTACCTGAAGAAAAAGAAGAAATAAGTGTTGCCACTAGAACAGAGACATGTGAAACTGGCAAGATCAATTTGAAGTCTCCTCCTGGTTCTCCATTAGGAACAAAAAAGAAGAAAAAACACAAGCGAGAAGAACAGGAAGATGAACTGAAGCAAAAGAAGTCTGTTGATGTATTTGACCTTCCACCACTCAATTTGTCATCTGATAGTGATAGTTCAGATGAGGAAGAAAAAAATAAACCTGCAGAACCTGTGCGAAAGGAAACGCCCCCTGAGGAACCCCGAGAACCATCTCAATCTCCTTCTCTCCCCGTCGTTGAAGACAGACAGGACCCTGATGAACCTGCTCCAGTAGTGGAAGGCATCTGGGATAAGTTCCAGAATTTCCAAGCAGAACTGGAAATACGAGATGATCCCTTGGCTTTCCTGCGTAGAACTATTATGATGGAGCATGACTATTGTTTACCTGCTGATAAACCTAAATCAACTAACCAAGAAGCTTCAACAGAAGCTTCTGCTGCTGATACCAGTGCTGTTTCAGGGGAAAATAAAGAAGCTGCTCCAAAAGCTGATGGTAGTGAGACTCCGAAATCATCTCCTGTGAAAAAGAAGAAAACTCCAAGAAAAAGGAAAAGGGCAAACTCGGGACGAGCGTCAAGTTCTTCATCAAGTGATTCTAGCAGTGATTCAGACTCAAGCAGTCGTTCTTGTGGGTCAAACTGTAGTTGCTCAAGTCGATGTGGAAGTGGAAGCTCTAGTAGCTCAAGTTCATCATCATCTAGTTCTGATTCAGAAGACAGCTCAAGTTCAGAAAGTCGGCGCAAGTCAGCATCTAAAAAAGATAAGCGAAAAGAGAAAGTTGAAGATAATAGCAATAAAAAAGAGGATGAGGCACTTGCGGAACCAGTTCCCTCTGTACAAAATGAGCCTAATCCACCAGTGACTATTCAGCCTCCTGCTGCCATCCAGCCACCTGCAGAAGAGCCCCACATTGATGTTTTAGAAATGGAACTAATTATTAGGGAATCTGATTTGGACACTACTGAACCTGAAACTGATGAGGACTTTTATGATGATAATCCTCAAAAACTTGCCAATGAAAAGCGAAGTTTGATGCTCTTGGCAGCTGCTGCTCCTTCAAATAATGGTGGTCTCAGCCCTGCACCATCCCATTCAAGTCAACCCCCCAGTGCTGCACCTTCTGAATCTACACCTTCTAAAAAGAAAAGTAAAAAACGTAGGAAAAAAGCTTCTTCTAGCAAAACAGTTGAAGAAAGCTTTGTATCTCAAGATATTTTGGGAGCGCAAGAGCGTGTGCCTGAGTGGTCTCAACACCTTGACCAGTCATACCAGTCCTACAGTCATCAATCAAACTCAGTTAATGCTAATGAATCATTTTTCAATTCATCATATTACAATTCAACAAATGCCACCACAACCTCAAGTTCTCCTGGGCTTGCTTCTGCACCCAGTCCAGCTCAATATCACCAGCAACAGCAGCCACCGCAGATAGCACAATATACATTCAAGCAAGCTCTTCACAATCTCTCAACTCAAAGTACTGGCAGTGGATCAGAAACAGAAGGCAGAACTAAGCGTAAACGCATGAGGAATAAGTTTTATGGTTACTCAAGTAATGAAGAAAATGAAAATAGCCATCAAGTGACCAGTAAGCAAAGGAAAGTCAATGCTAACAGTAGCTATCAGACCAATGCTAGTTATCAGGCCAGTCATTATGAGACACCACCTCAACCTGTTATGCCGCCCCTTACTATAAAACGAAGTCAAATCAAACCACCTGCACCAACTCCCCCTCCTGTTACAGAGACCTACTATGAATCAACATTGGTCCCTTCAAGTTGGAGTAACAATTCTATTGCCCAGGCAAAGTCTGATTCAGACAGTGATTCCGATGCCAAGGCCAATTCAAATTCCTCAAGCGACACAGATAGTGATGATGACGCCATGCAGATTGCAGAATCTCCTCCTCCTCCTCAGCCTTATGAGCCTCCGCCTCCTGCTGAAAAGCAGAATTTATACTGTTATTGCCAGTGCCCTTATGACGAAGTATCTGAAATGATAGCTTGTGATGGCCAAAACTGCAAAATTGAGTGGTTTCACTTTGAATGTGTTGGTATCATGGTGCCACCTAAGGGCCAGTGGTACTGTCCTGATTGTAGGCGTAGGATGACAGCAGATGGGCAGGACTACATGCTCAACAATTAATACGCTTCAAACTTATTACTGAAACTGTAAATATTGTATTTATGAAATCACTTCCTGTAGGCAATGTAAAGTATTTCAGTTTCTCATGTCAATATGAAAATGACTGTTCCTTACAATTTAGTTTGTTAAAGCCTTTGCAACATTTGTTGCTTGGTAATTGTAACATATTTACAATTATGAGTTTTTGTTAGAACTGGTGTAAAGACTTGTATTTAAGATATTAAATGTAACATATTTTTTGTATGATTTAGTAGGCATTTTTAAAGAGGTGAACATCTTTGGAACCTGATTATACAGACCTTGTGTGTATGATAAATTTGATTGTAAATATCTTTGCAGAATAAATTTCTCACTATATTTATAGTGAAGCAACATTTTTATCAATATAGATGTGCAAATGTAGAACTGAATTTTACTCATTTGGCTATTGAAAAATATGTTTTGAGAAGTTGAATTTGTTTGTGGTAGAGCAGAGCATGCTGCCCTACCCATGGGCAGCCCCACTTTGGTTATAGAAATATTTTAAAATTTTGATGTATTATTGAGTGTATTTTTGTTACCTTCATAATCAAGCAGGTGCACTGGCTTGTTCAGATTACCAATGTTTCTTTCCTGTTGTAATTGGCTGCACTTTTTACAGTGTCAGTTTTGTGGGTTCTTCTTTTTTCTGTTGTTAAAAACAAACTCTAAAGTATTGGACGCCACTTCTGATTTTGACATTCCACTCTGTTTTACTATTTTCTCATTTTTTTTCAGTTTTCAACATAATTATGTAGTTGTGTTGTCTAGCCCTATGGTCTTTTCTTAACTGAATGGTCTAGGTAGGACCAATAATAATGTGCCAGGGCTGTTGCCACGTAATGAAATGTTATTTGTTGTCAACGTTTATTGTCTGAACTTAAAGATTGATTACCCTTGGCTAATTAATTAACCAGTACTCTGTTTTCATGTTGTTTCCTGGTCACAGATAAAGAATTGTTCTGTTTTCTGGTGAGGCACAACATTTACTGTACTTCTATGAACAATCAAAATTTATTGTTTGTCACTGCCTTAATTAATTTTCTTATGGTCTTATTTAAATCTTATCTGCTTTTGATTATAAGAGGTGTTTAGTTACTGAGCAGATTTACTTAACACCACCTCTCCTTTTAATCATGATCTTGAGTGTTGTTGTATGATATGGTATGCAATACACCAAGAAAGTCTACCACATGTAGAAATTTTAATTTTGGGACTACCCTGACCTCAAAACATTTCTATGTCTTGATTTTACATCTAAAATATATCGTCTCAATTTCCAATTTGTGAAATAAAGTTAAGTTCCTGTGCTTTTGGCTGGCAACAGTTACAAGTACAACAGACTTGCTATGCTTGCATTACTCTGAATTAGCTTGGTATTCGTCTCATGATTGTGAGAATGAAGTTGTCATTCACTAATGCTCCCACTAGCACTTGAACTTAAACTTTATTTTTGATTAAATTATTTGCAATGAATTTACTTTGAGAATGTGTGGAATGTATGAGGGTATTAGCACTGTTACACATCAATTGAGGTGGAGCTGAAGTGGGTATTGTGGTTGAAAGATCTGTAATGGTTATCATTCTTTTCATGAAAGGCTGGACCTGTTTGAAAATATTCATGAATAAACACACCAAGGAACCACTGTACATATTATGGTTTATTTTATTTATTTTAGCCCTGAGCTTCCTTATCAATTTCCTGCTATTTTTATTTTTCCCTCTCTCCTCAGCCAGAAATGCCATGTCCAAATAATGGGCCCCTTAGACTTCTATGAGTCACAACATTTCTGGCTGGGTTGCTTGTTAGTGAAAAAGTGCCTTACTAAACTGTCTTTGGATAAATGTATTGTAAGATGGGTATTTTGGCTTAACTATATTATAAAAGATTTCTGATTTTAATATCTTTATTTAAACAGGAATTGGCTAGCTAAGAAACTAGGTATTACATTCGACAATCAAAAAGGCAAACAAAACACATCAATCATTTTCACTCACTGCCTTACCTCTGCCAAATACAAAAGTAGGATGCAAGTATGTGAAGTGAAGCCAAACCACAAATAAAAGCTGGGTTAGTGCAACACTCGTACAAACAAGGAGGCGAGCAGCTGGTATTCGGAGGGACGCAAGTAAAACTAACACGACCCTTAGAGTGCTCAATCCACCAAAAACAGCAAGACACAAAAAAAATATTGTGTCACTCCTTTCTCGATCAATTATGAGGGATACTGAAAGTGTGAGCACAGGGCCATACAAAGAATATCCAATCAGTGATAACAGTTGCATAAAAGTAATTGCTGCTTGGCAACATCTGAGAATAACATGGGTGAAAAAGGGCAAAAGAATACAATAAGAAAGAACAACTCGCTCTGCCCCTAAAGTATTTTCTTTTTCAGTTTGCCCCAAGATGAGCATGCAAATAAGAATTAAAACAGCTAAAGATGGCCCTAAGAGATCTACATTTATAATTCGAAACCTATGAACTATGGGTGGTAACAAAGACCGCACAATCCGAACTGGTAATTCAAATGGAGAGACTGCAAAGAGCATCAATGCCTCATTGAATGCTGCACTGACAATTGACATCCAAGATTTCTTAGGAACTTCATACCAGTCTTCATAGTCTTTATTGGTCAAACGACCATACCCAATTCTTCGAGCTTTCTCATTGTTTTCAACAAAGTCCACCCACATTCCTCTCTCAAGAACACCGAAAGGTTTACTATTAAGTCTACTGTTAAACATTTTGTTTCACTGTCCACAAAATCTAAGACAGTTAAAAACACAAAAATGACGAGGAGTCAATGGTTTAACCTTTCTTTGTCATGTCCCTAATCTTTTCAACAGTCTCTTTGATTGCGTCTTTGCCCTCTTTTGTTGTTTTAATGAACTCTTTTGACAGTCCAGTCGCGACCTCCTTGATAGCTTTTGGATCTAACTTTTTGAAGGCTGGATCTTGTGTAATGGCTTTTCCTTCCATAAATAAACTTGCACAAATTCGAGCAACAATCCTTATAGGGCGAGATTCAGACAATTTATGTATGACTCGCTCATCATGAAGTACTCGAAAGAGAATTCTTCTGAAAAAATCCATACTCCAGGTGCAGTTTCTGAAAGTGCAAATTTCATTAAATACTTCCCCTATAAAAGTACAACCACAGGACATTGAAACTTGTTTTCTACCTTAGGCTTTGGGTATTTCAAAAGAACACATATTGCGGTACTTGTGCAATAGCTCACGCTTCAAGCGAAGCTGATTTCGGAGGACATCTAATTGCTTCAGCTGCTCCTCAGTATTATACTCAATGCCAGGAAGCTTCCGAATCTAACAAAACATAAGAAACCAAAATTGTTATACAAATTATTGTATACACATGAAGAGCTATGATATCCATGGCAAATGAGAGAGTAAACAAAGTGTAATTCAAGCACTTACTTGTTCTCTCGCCTTTTCTAGTTTTCTCTGCAGCTCTAAAATTTTTTGAGTAGTATCTAGGGAATCTCTTGACTTCTGTGCGTTATCGTGGGGGTCCTTCTCCAAGCTGCCAAAAAGATAGGAAAATGTACGCAATTCATTAGTGAACATTCAAAACAAAATTACGTCAATCAATTCCTGCAAGTCTATTCAAAACGTAAATATTTACAAGTTTTTGTTAAAACATGTAAACAGGGTTGACCTTCTTGATAGGTTATGAAAGACAAGACAACGGGATTCAAGAAGGATAAAAAAGTAAGTATCATTGAGTTAAAAATGTAAGCACATTTACCTCCTGATAATCTCGTAAATCAGGGGCAAAAACTCGACATCGACATCATCAACAGTCCATGTTGTAGGTGCAGTTTCGTGTTGTTCCGAAGAATCCTGCATTTTGTTGGTTGCCGTCTTTACGCCATTTCAACCCCTGTCAACTCTAATAGGCGTTTCCGGCCGCTTGCTACCTCGTCCTCCCCGACCCCCCCTCACCTGGCGCGGCCTCCGGTACTGCCAGTTTTAGCATAAAAATTTGTGGGGTCGGTTGTCGTGATGGGCTAGTTTCAAACTGCTAGATTAGCACTCCAACATATGACGCGTGTGTGGAATAACATATCCCATTTGTTAGCAAAGGTCAGAAATGCAGGGATAATAGATAATCGGATGCCATTTCCGGCCCTTTTTTCGTTGAATCGTTGGCATACTTGAAAGCAGCCGATCTGAGCAGAAACTGATTCTTCGGCTCCGAACGAGGAACAACAACACTTCGGCAGCGCAGCGGTACCGAGCGGGCCCCGGGCCCGGTGGTCGTAGGGTCGACTCCGCCCGGAGGCCAGAAAAAATTTTCACTTCAGAATTCGTGCGGGAAATTTCGTTTCGGAGTGCGGGACAAAAGTTGGGAATTTCGCTGTCCAAA